AAGAGTAGGCAGCTTCTCAAATCTCCAATTATGTTTTAAATTAGTCCTTTATCAGACAGACTAAGCAAACCATTACATTTCTTATGCATCACAAAAGCAATGCATAAGAAAGGCCAATTCTTCTCTCTCAAATGCTCCCTCTACCTTAACCTAACTACCTACTGTGTAGACCTGATTGCATCTGCTCAGTCTTGTGCTGTGCAGCCATTTATCCACATGTGTAACCTACTGTTTTTATTTTTCATACGAATTAAAATGTTTGTATTTATTTTAAAGACTGTATACATACAAGACCATGCAGCTTATCCTGGAAGACAGTAAGCAAGTGGCAGACACCTAGTTGGCTTCTGCACCTAAGTCCATGGCATTGGCCCAATGACTAGCTACAGTCCAAATTTAATAAGCAGAGTTTCCTGGTAGGCACTGAGTCTCTCACCTTGGGATTCTTCCTCAGTTTTTCTCCTTCTCTCTCTGTTGTACCCTTGTAGATCATCAAGGCTTTTCTGGACTATTCACTGTACCACCATTTGACTGGATACCAGGGTGTATGGTTCAAATATGAAACCCTGGTCATGGAGCAGCTCTTGAACCTCCCCGTGAAAGGCGAGGCCATCAAAATCATGGCTTATGCGGCTGATACACTGGGCCATATCAAGTTATTAATGGGTCATCTGGACTTGGCCATTGAGTTAGGTAAATGCTAGCTAGGCAAGAAAGGGCATAAAGTTACATGTGATAACTCCAGACACACCACACATTTGCTTTCTTCCCAGGTTCCCGAGCCTATAAGATGTGGTCTCTTCTCCAGAATCCCAACAAATACCATATGGTTCTCTGCAGACTGAGTAAATCTCTCTTCTTGAAAAGCAGGTATTTGTCCTAAAGCATTTTCCAAAGTTAGGACTCTACTTTCCTTCCTGTTGCTTGTGATAGAACACTCTGCCCAAAAGCAAAGGGGGGGTGGTAGTGGTAGTGTTTACTTCAGCCTACACTTCTGGGTCACAGTCCACCCTTGAGGAAATTTGGGGCAGAAACTCAAGCAGGAACCTGAACAGAAACCATGGCTTCTTGCTGGCTTATGTAGGCAGAGTTTTCCTGTGCCATGGCCACTCTTAAATAATTACTCAGAAACATAATATTAATTGTAAGTGCTTGACCAATAGCAATATTAATTGTAAATGATTGGCTAATAGCTCAGGCTTGTTACTAAACTCTTACATTTTTGTTAACCTATATTTCTTATCTATGCTTTGCCTCATGGCTTGGTACCTTTTCTCAGTATTGCATCTCCATCTTGCTTCTCTCTGCATCTGCTAGTGACCCTTCTGACTCAGCCCTTCTTCCCATGATTCTCAGTTTGACTTTCTTGCCTAACTTTACCCTGTTCAGGTATTGGCCAGTCAGCTTCTTTATTAAACCCATCACAGTGACAAATCTTCAGTGTATAAAAGGATTATTCCACAGCAGTCTTGCTCTCTTTTTCCCTCTCCAGTCCAGGGTTAGCTAGCTTCTAGAACTAGAGATGGTGACTCCCCCAGTAGCCCTCTATGATCAATTGATAATCAAGACAATCCTCCACAGACATGCCCACACATCAATCTAATCTAGGCAATTCCTCAGTCAGGAAGCTCTTCTCTCAGATGACGCTAGGCTATCCAGGTGGCAAAGCTCACTAGAACAGAAAGCTGTTTGGGGGTTCTGACTTGTTTCACCCTGACCATAGTATAGGAAAGGAAGTGCAGTTCATGGCAAGATAATGTAACTGATAACCGTCATCTTTTATCTATCAATATTACTCCCCCCCCCATTAATTCTTTTAATGGAGTTCTTTTGTGTTCATTATCTCTGATCTGGTTGCTCTCGCCAGGGACAGAAGGCCAATCAGTCACACCTATTGTGGGAACTAGGCCTCTATCACTGCCAGGTACAGGGAAGTTAAAGAAAGCACTGTGCATGCCTGAAGAACAGCAACAAAGATTCAAAGATCCTGGCCTATTTGGCCTGACTCTAATCTCCCTGATCTGGAGGATCCCTAAAAGAACTGTTGGGGGGCATCCAGCTGGAGACTAAGGTTCTAGTTCTGAGCAAGGGAAGGTTTGAAGTCTGGTTTTTGTTTTTGTTGTTTGTTTTTGGTTTTTTGGGTTTTTTTTTGTTTGTTTGTTTTTTCAAGACAGGGTTTCTCTGTGTAACAGCCCTGGCAGTCCTGGAACTCACTCTGTAGACCAGGCTGACCTTAAACTCAAAGATCCTCCTGCCTCTGCCTCCTGAGTGCTGGGATTAAAAGTGTGCACCACCACGCCCCTCAGCTGAAGTCTAAGAGTTGTATTTGTTTCTGAATTACTGCTCATGACCAAGACTAACCTAGACCAGGACTGAACTCCATCCTTTCCTCTCACTGCTTTCTCATTCTCTTCCACAGATACAAGCATTTGGTCCAGGTTCTAGAATTGTTGTGGGACTTTTCTGTAACAGAAGAGCACATTTTCAGCAAGGCATTTTTCTATTTTGTCTGTTTGGACATCATGCTTTATTCTGGTAAGCATGGAATTTATTCTGGCTTCAGGAACTAAAAGAAATGGGTGCCGGGCGGTGGTGGCGCACGCCTTTAATCACAGCACTCGGGAGGCAGAGGCAGGCAGGTCTCTGTGAGTTCAAGGCCAGCCTGATCTATACAGTGAGTTCCAGGACAGCCAGAACTGCATAGTGAGACTCTGTCTTGAAGTGGGGGGGGGAAAGTTGTGCTGGGGGCTGAGGTGGGGCTGGGGAGATCAGTGACAAAGGATAGTAAAATCTAGAGGAAGAGAATCGGTTTTCTGTAATGAGATAATAGGTCTGTCCACCTACACAGTAATCTAGAGCAAACCAAGGTGGAAAAGCCAAAGCACAGGTTTATTTGAGCA